CATTTTTATATGGGACACTGTCAAGTCAAACTTTGGTGTTAGTTAAAAATCAAACATTGCCTTAGGGAAGCCTGATACCAAAGAAAGTTGTTAAGCTAAAAACGAGTCAGCTTGGAACTCAAGCATTGTGTTAAGCTCACGAGAACCTAACCATTAAATTGTTTTACATAGTCTTGTGTTTTGAGAGAGATTTTAAACCATATGTAGTGCAAATCATTAAATCTGGATTAAAGATTAACAGTGTAATCTTGTGTATGTCGACTCAGATGTAAGACTCATTGAGTACAATGGGACTGACTCCCAGGTAAGTGTACAAAGGATTGCAGCCTCCATCTGTTAATGTGAATTTTGTATGATCATATTTTGATGGATGCTTCAAGCTTTTCAGTTGGAAATGAGAAACGCTTGGCATTACCATTACGGGTTGCTGTATAGAATCTCTGCTTGGTATGTTGGTAGATGGAAAAGGGTCTCTTGTCTGGAAAAAATGAGCTCAAAATTCCAAAGGAACAAGAATAATGGTTTGGAACTGGGGTAGAAGCTCTAAAGGGGAATAAATCACGGAATTAAGTATTTCCCAGCACTTACCCAGGAGGTGGTCTTGAGTTGTTCCATCGTATTACAAACTGACATGTGATTAATTTGGGTTACAATTTAGCAGCTCCCAATGCATTTGAAAAATGCAGTAGACAAAGAAAGCTTTCCCATTTTACCCCCAGTGTGAAGACAAATAAACACTGCAAATGAAGACCATGTTCTATCACCTGTGATGTATACTCCTTGTTTGTGACAAAGAGCAGGCAGTGTAAATTTGTTGCCATCTATTACGACAAATTACTGTATTTTGTTTGCGTACGTTAAGCCTATGTGGAGTAAATGGAAGGCACTGTATGTGAAATAGAAAACGTTTTGGAGGCTCCCTGATAAAGTATATTGCTGGGTTGTAGTGGTGGTAGCTGTGCAGTATGCCCAGAGATTTTAGGGAAGATTCTGACTGTCAAAATGAATACTGCTACAGCGTGTTAAAGCGTAATATCCTCTCCAGTATTCATTTCTTGTGTTTGTCATACTTTCTGAATGGATTGTGTCATTTGTATTTGAAAAGTATTCTGAAAAATAAATTTTTAAAAAACTTGCCATAAACACAGTGCTCTGTGTATCTATTTTTTACAGGTCATAGTTAAACCATCATTAAAACAAGAATTTAAAAACCTGTTCTGGCTCCACCTACCCATCATGTGGCACCCAACTGACTTTACATTGCAGATCAATGGCCCATCTTGGTTTTTAATATGTATTGTCTTCTGTAGGATGACTTGTTCGATCTCTCGTATGAGAAGTGGGAGTCTGGAGTATTGCTTGTGCTACCCTCTAAATGTCATATACATTGGCACTTTTGCAGAAACACTGCTAGAATCAGTGTAGTGAATTCCAGAATAGAATTTTGTCGAATCTTCATTTTGTTCCTGTCCCCACCACCACAAAGGAAAGATTGGGAAGACTTTGTTTTATGATGGATGGCGGCTGAAGAATTTACCATGTTTAAAGCAAATGGCTCACACTACTATTACCATCAGTTCCATTCCGTGTTACATAACCTTGAAAGGAAACTACAGCACAGATTTGTTACACTACACTCTGCTCAGTTTTACATGTCATGGTTGTAAGAGTGGAAGTTGATGCACTCACATTGAGACTCTATTTAACTTGTCCAGAAATTAGTCCTGAAAGTTCTGTTGTTCCTCTTCACTCAGTGCAACCCAGAACAATAATAAAAGGTAACATGATGGATGTAATAACCAAACTGAAGTAGGACTTCAATAAGATCATTGCAAAATCTTACTCTCTCACCTCCCTTGCAAACAGAAAACACTTAAAATGTGTGAATCATGAGTGATACATTCAGTGGCACCCCATTTTATCTTACTAAGATTGCATCCTAACTCAGACTTTGTTCCATTCAGGTGCGCCAATCTGGGAAAGAGATGGGGGGCTGATATCACATCCAGGCGTCACGTGTGATGTCCAGCTGCATCACCCAGGCTTTGCATGGCAGCTTGGCTTTCATGGCTGGTGCCTCCTCTGCCTCCTCCGGTGCCACAGGCTAGGGGCTGCTTCCTTTCTATGGAAGGAGAAGGAGCCACTGTGTTCCTGGCTCACATGGCTGCATGATGCCTGGATGTCATGCGCGACAGCATTGTATCTGGGCATTGCATACAACATCATAAAATCACGTACAGCATGGATGAACATTGAGGGGGCCAAAGGGTTTCAGCCCCTAGGAGTTTTCACCCCAATTCCATTTATGGAATGCCAGACTTGGAAATAAAGATGTAAACATTGGTGCAAATAGTTCTGAGTAATTAAGATGGAAACACGAAAACATACTAAGGCACAAAATAAAGGATGAGAGGTTGGTTTGCATAATCTGTTGATCTGAGGGGACATATTCATCATGGTCTAATCTTCTGCCAGGAGAACCGATACATTTCTAACTATATAATAAAACTGTAAGGCTGTTACGCTGCCATTAGGCATCCATGCAAACTAGCACGATAACAAAGCAGGCAGATGAGTGAGCAAGTGGCCCAGAAGACCAGTGCAGATGGGGCACAGCCCAGGTGAGCCGCAGAGGAATAGACAGGACAGGGCAGCTCCAGAGCAATTATCCTGCTGTGTTGCCACTGCTCATCTGGCACAGACCCCACTGATTGGGCCTCTGCAGTGTCATAGGCCAAGGAAGAAAGAAATGGCAGCAGTGCGGGATGGCTGCTGGAAAGGTGCAACGGTCTGTCCTGACTTCTGTCAGCTCATGGGTTTGGGCAAGCAGGTAAGGGGAAGCAAAGCAGGGTTTGCAAACTGTAAGGGGAAGGGGGTTTGGCAAGTTATAAGCGGAGTGGGGCATAGTTTGGGCCAGGGGTGCCAACTTGAATAAAATACTGGGGGAGCAAGTAAACCTTACCCCTCATAATCATCTGATGCAGCACATACACACCATTTGAATGGCAATGCCCATCAACTTGGGGAGGGGGCTGACCCCCTCAGATATTTTATTGGTGGGGCCGAAGACCCATTGGCCCCTAGGAGTTGGTTCCTGTGGTTTTAGCAATGCCTGAAGGAAGGGTGTGAGGTTTCAGAGGGCTGAAAGGTATGGTTTGACAAGGTTAAGGGGAGGGGGGGTTGGGGAGGCATAAAATAAATGAGGGAGAGGGGATGAGGGTTTAGCAAGGTGTAAAAGGAGTGGGGGGGGGGTAGGTGGGCCAGCCTGGAGAGCAGCCCCTCATTCATCAATATTTATAAACATCGACTCTTTAATACGACAAAATCAGTACCTGTTAAGCAAAATGAAAGATCCTTTTACTTAATCACAGCTCTTTCCTCCTTAAATTTGCAGCTCTGAGCACGCACGCTACGTTTGGGTTTGAAGCATGTAAATCGCCAAACCGATCAAGTGCCCGAATATTAGTGTGTCTGAATTTGAGGCACCTTTGAGCTTGATTCGCAGGCCAAGTGGCCCTCCCGCCTGCCCCTTCCACCCCCACCCCATTGGCCCTGCAAACAAGCATGCCTGCAATCCCTTTCAGACTTTCCTCAGAGTGGAAATTTCAGTTTAAGGGGAGGGGCGGCCCTTGGGAGGCATACCCAGACTATGCCTCCAAAATATTAGCCTGCTATGGTGTTTGTGTGCACACTGAGGGAAAAGGAGGAAATGAATGCTATACAGCAGTGTTTCCCAAATTTTTTTGGGCAACGGCACACCTGTTTACTGAAAAAAAATCTCGCGGCACACCACCATTAAAGCCCCGCCCCGTGACGTCAGCGCGCAGCGTCACGCCGGGAGGGACGCACGAAAGTGAAAGTTTTTTCCCTCCCCCTTGCCGGGGAACCTCCAAGCTTTGGGGGTGGGAGGAGGCAGCAGAGCGAGGGACTGAGGGACGGCGGCAACTGAGGCGGCGGCGGCTGTGGTGGTGGTGGCGGCGATAGCGGGCGGAGGAGGGGGCGGCGGCGGGGCTTGAGGAGCCGTCGCCGGGAGTTGCTGCTGCTGTTGTTGCTGCTGCTGCCCGGACATGCCGGCCTCCTCCTCCTCCGCTGTCTCGCGCTCCTCCCTTTTGCACGCGCTGCCCCGCCGCTCGGCACCACCACCGCGGAGCCGCCCCCGGCTCGACGCGGATCCTCGCCGCCGCCGCCTCTCACCGCCCGACTCGCCCGCCTCCTTCCCACGGCACACCAGCCAATGTCTCACGGCACAGTAGTGTGCCGCGGAACACCGGTTGGGAAACACTGCTATGCAGTATAGAAATCCTTCCCTGGTTTGGGAAGAATCCTGCTCTTGTTCTCATTAACGTCTGGGGTTTTTTTATTATTGTTGTTAAATATATATTTTTCATTCTTGTTGAATGAATATTCTCATCCTAAACTGAAGCTGTGTCAGTTTCTCTCTCTGTTTTCACTGGACAATCTATGACACAATCCTGAATAAAGTCCACATTTCAACTAATGCACTTTCTTTTAATACTTGTGTATTATTCTATATAATACACAAGTACTAAAAGAAACTGCATTAGTGTATTACACACACACACACACATTACTCAAGTACTAAAGTATTATACACAAGTACTAAAAGAAACTGCATTAATTGAAATGTGGAATTTGTTCGGGATTGTGTCATAGTTTGCCCAGTGAAAACAGAATATTCATTCAAAAAGAATAAAAAAAATTTAACTACATTCTGCCCCACACACACACACACACACACACACACACACACATATTTCCCCCCCAAAATAAGAACATAACAAGTCTGTGCATGAAATAGTCATCTAATAGCATAGCTGCAAAATAAAAAAATAAAAAGAATCCACAAGTAATTGCAGTGTCAGCTGCGAAGGTGGAAGCAAATTTCTCAACAGGCTGATTTTAATGCTGAAGGATTGGACGCCGGCTGCTGCCTGTCTCTCAATCAGCTCTCCAATAGAGAGAGCACGCAGTCACGTGACTGCTACGGCTTCCTCCATATGACATCACTGCCTTTGCAGCCATAGCAGGAAAGAAAGGATGGTGTCTGGAATTTGGGGGTTGAACTAAACGATGTTGCATTGCAGGTAAGAGGAGAACACCCTCCATTAACACCACTTACTGGGCTTTTGCCCTTCTGGCTTTGTTTTGAAATCAACCTCTGTCGAGCAGGTTTCCTTTTTTTGTAAATAAAAGCGTGGCACGGTCTGTGCTGGCAGGTGCAAAGGCTGTTTTGCTTGTTCCCCAGATCTTCCGGCTGGAGAGTTCAGGAGCTGTGTTGTCGGCGTTTTTGAAGCTGAAGGAGGCAATCCGTTGTCAGTGTTTTAACATATTTTTTGTTAAAAAATGAGCAAGGTACAATTTCATTAGGGGGGCAGAAGAGGAGCGATTGTATTGCCAACGCAGCTGTGCAGCCTTTACAGCATATTGATGTCAGCATTTGCATTACAATGTAAATTTTCCCGTGTTTTTAAGGGAAGTGTTAGTCATCAAATTTCTCGCGTAATTTTCATTCTGTTTGTGAATTCTAGTTATTTTTGTTTGTGGGGAATTAACACCCAGTATTAAGCCATGCACAGAAATGCTTTGGGAGTGGGTGGGTGTGCTTATCTGCTACAGCTAAATGACTTCCTTGTCACACTGGATAGGGAGATATAGAAATATAATTTATATTTTCTTTTCAATTCCTCTGTAGCTATGAGTACATTAATTGGCTTGCATTTTCCGTTTATGTGAGAGTTACTTATTAGTATGGTATTTGGGGATGTTTGGAAATGGATTAACTAGAGTGATGGCAGTTGTTGGACAGGGTCAAATATAAAAGAGCAGTATAAGAATGGAACACTGGAACAGTTTTCAGTTTCTGTCAGGACATGGTGAAATATGTCTCTGCCTGAACAAAAAAAGATGACTCATGGTTAAAATGCAAGCAGTTCTTTGCATGCTTTTTAACACTGAAGAGTTTCCATGCTAATTCTTCTCTTGGGAATTTAATATCCGCACATGTTGTACTGTGTCACTAACGAATACCCTAATTGCTGTCATTTGTTAATATTAATAATTATAAGTACTATTTTTGTCCTGATACATATGATTATTAATAACCCACTAAATGCTATAAAAATTCATTCTTAATGTCAGTATGTTTATCCAAACAAAGTCTGTGTCTATCGGTAGTCCGTTCATATGTTGCAACTGTGGTTATGTTGTTGATCCATTGATTAAACAGAACCAAATCTTTATTCTTCCAGTTCATTAGTACCTGTCTCTTGGCCACAGTTAGGGTGCGTAGAATCCATTTTCGTTGTCCAGTAACCAAATTGCTGTCATCTGGACACTGAATGGCCTGGCAGAAAAGTGAGAACCCAGTGCTTGTTCCTTAACACTGAAACGGAGATCTTACACTGGCCTGGGCCTAGACAGCAGAAACAGATCCTTCTTATAACCAAATCCATTCCATATTCCTTCCAAATCCTCTGTTAAAAAGCATTGCCACTTGGGTAGTGTGTATAAACAACAGGCCCTTCTGCTCTGTACCAGCCTACTCCTGGAATTATTTCAACCATGTATTATTACCTAGTTTAGTTGTCTTCCCACATTCATAGCAAATAAAGCACCTTGCATTCCTTGATCACTGATGAGGGGTTGTATATTTGGTCAGTTCACTGTGGAGAAGGAAGAAATTGAATTCTATCCTGCTTTGTTAGCCTTCGATTTTATCTTTGTACACTTCTTCGAAATTCAATAATGTTAAGAAGTGCAGAAGTGTTTTAAATAAATGCTTGTAAAGCACAACAGAAACAATGCTAATTTTCCTGCCAACATCTGAGGCAAGTTCAGTTGGGACATGAGAAAGGACATTCTCAGTGTATGTACCTCACCCTTCTGAGAGAGGACCATTTATCAGACCTCTGTTGGCAAGCAAATATCTCTTCTTATTTATTTCTAAGATTGCTTTCCTGCCCTTCACCATAAAGTGTGAGAATAAGTGTGGGTTGCAACAATAAAACCACCCAATTAAAAACAACAGGGGAAACTGTTTATACAATTATTATTTTTTAAATCAAGTAAAAGAATTCCAAACAGAAGCAGTACAGAATAGGTAAAAGTAACAAACCAGATGATGTGCATCCCATAAAGCTACCTCTTAACTGTCAAAGGCCAGGATAACCAGATGCATCTTCAGCATATGAGAGAAGATGAATGATGGTGTTAGATGCACCTCTCTGGGGTTGGCGTTCCACAGGAGAAGCCCTCTCTCAGGGTGCCATTCCTTGCACTTATGAGGATGATAGAAGTATCAAGAAAGCCCCCTCTGCTATCATTAATATTAGAGCACATTCCATGTTTCTGCAAGCCTTCGTTTTTTAGACATGCCTTTGGCCTCCTGAGGTGACCCTCACACACGCTTTTTCTGTGCTTTTAGTGTTTTTGATTTTAACTTGTATTTATGGGTTGTGCTCCTCATCTGTAAAAGGTGTGGGGTCTGAACTAAAATGGACTGGAGGGTTCTCAAATAGAGGGGTGTCCTCGGACAACCACATGACCGCTCTAGGATGTGGCAATGGATCTGCTGCTCTGCTCCGCCATGACCCCACATAGGATTGTTCTGTAAAACATAACCAAGTCTGTGAAGAAAACAGTTCTCTATATATTTGTTAAGGTCTGGCTTCTTCAGAAGCGCTAGAAGAAAGGAGAAGTATGAGAAAGTGTAGAATACATGCCTTGCATGCAGAAGGCTTCGGTTCAATCCCCAGCATATGCATGTAGGAAAATTCTGGAGGCTACTGACTGTGTGTACAAAATGGAGATGGTCTGATAAAAGGCAATTTCCAATCTTCCTAGAAAGCCATTTTTTCCCAACATAAGAAGAGCCTGGCTGGACTTATCTAACCCTGTTCTGATAGGCTAACCAGATACCTGTGGGGTTTCCACAAGCAGGTTCTCAGTGCAGCAGCAGATCTTCCCCACTGACTGGCATGCTGCCTTCAACTGTGGAGGTAGAACATAGATATCATGATTAGTAGCTATATCCTCCATGAATTTGTCTAATCGTCTTTTAAAACCATCCAAGCTAGAGGCCATCACTATATTTTGTGGAAGAAAACTCCATGGTTTTAACTATGTGCTGTGCAAATAAATCCTGTTGGCAGGCCGGAGCCTTCTAACATTCACTGTCACCTTGGATGTCCCCAGGTTCTAGTATTATGAGAGACTGAAAAAAAGATATCCCTGTCCACTTTCTCTACAGCAGACATAGTTTTATCAACCTCTATTGTGTCCTCCTTCACTCTACTTTTTCTAAACTAAAAAGCCTTGAATGTTTTAACTTATCTTCAAAGTGGATTTGCTCCAGCTCTTTGATCACTTTGGTTGTTATTTTCTGAAACTTGCCCAGCTCTACAATATCCTTTTTGAAGTGAGGTGGCCACAACTGTCTGCTGTATTCCAAATGTAGTCTTACTGTCCATTTGTATAATATTGTTATGATACTGGTAGTTTTATTTTCATTCCATTCAGTTTGCCTTTTTTCACAACTGGGTGGACATCTTAGGGCTTAAAGATGTTCTAGAATGTATTATTTTTACCTTTGGATATTTCCTTCTGAATTACTGGATTTGCTGGATCTTGCTCCCCTTTTCCAGCTGATCCAAAATGGCGTCCTTGGACAGCTAGTAGTAAAGAACAATTTCAAACTCATTCTAAGCCTGTTATACAATTGGGTATCGGGCTAATGGAAATCTTTGGGTTTCCTGACCAGGGTGTGTGGAACGTATCTGCAGCTGCAGTTTGAGAAAGTTGGGTGTAAGCATGGTGAGCCTAGGCCGTCAACGTTGCAGGAAGCTTATAAGCTGATAGCTTTGAAACCTCACCAACTTTTCAGGTTGCTACTAGCTCAGCCAGACTGGATATGCAGGATTTCTGAGAAGCTCTAGCATAGCCTTTTGTAGAACTGGTGCCCTCCATATATTTTAGACCACAGCTCCCATCCCATAGCTATGGTGGCTGGGTCTTCTGTGAGGTATAGTTGAATGCGTCTGCAGGGCACCAAATCCTAAAATACATTCATTCTTTCAGCCAAATTCTTCTTATTGGGTAAAGACTGATGAACAGGTTCTTTAGTTTTGAAAACAGTGGCAATAATAAGCTCAAATGAAGCGAAGTGTCCAGTCTAGCCACCCAGAAGGTGCTACTTAGCCTGGGGGTGTACTCAATTTCAGTGTCAACCAAACAACAACCAAATAACGAACTTAGAAATAGATTTTTAGGTGTTGTAGAAACTTAATTTGGTTGCATGAGGGTTTCAAGAGCCCAGCACCAACAGCAGTCCTTACAATCACTTCTAGGTATGGCCATTGTCATTGTTCACAAAAAGGTGAAATCTGAACAATCCCTAAGAATTTTTTTTTAAAAAATAAATTTCTCTACTGCCCGAGGATCGCAGGGTGGTTTACAACACAAAAATATAACGTAGTAACAAACAAAAACAATACCCCCCCCCAGTTTAAAAGGCCATAGATTGTTTAATTAAGGCATGGGAGAAGAGGAATGTTTTTGCCTGGTGCCTAAAGATATGCAATGAAGGCGTCAGGCTGAACCTCCCTGGGGAGAGCGTTCCACAATTGGGGAGCCACCACAGAAAAGGCATGTCCTCATTTTGCTGCCCTCTGGACTTCTGGAACACAAAGAAGGGCCTCAGATGATGATTGCAGGGTCTGGGTTGGTTCATATGGGCAGAGGAAGTCATTGAGGTATTGAGGTCCTGAGCTGTTTAAGAATAATAATAAAAACATCTTTTTGAACATGCTCATTACAGACTGGCCCAATATACTATGAAGCACATAAGCTACTTTAAAAGTCTCCTTTCACCCCCATTCATGCCCTTGTAGGTCCTTCAACCCTCTGGAACAGATTGACATTGTTGGAATTCACCCTTGTGGGCTCTTTTTTTCCTTTTTGCCACTGAGCAAAACATGTCTCCCATGCTAGTCAGTGAGTCGGTTCCAATAATCAATATATGGCCTAGTTTGTCAAGCAATTGATCACATGGTTTTCTACTTGGATAAGTAGTATAAGATCAAATCAACAGATTCAGTTGAGATTGCCTTCCATTAAATGGAAATCGGCAACTTGCGATTTTAGAGAGTGCAAAAGAGAAGGGGGAGCACGTGCACAAATCTTCTGCTAATGTGAGTAAAATGCTTGTGTGCAAAGTTACTTGTAGGAGTGAGAAACTGATTGAAGATACTATGGACTGCAGAATAATCAGTTATCAAAGGGCAGAGACATGCTTATAAAGAAAATACTGCTCAAATGCAAAGGCCAGAATACAGAGGGCTATTTTAGGCATGCTCAGTAGATTCCCTACCCCACTTTTTCACATTTGTATGTGATTCTACAAATGTATATTTCCCCCCTCAATTGCAAAAGAGGTTTTGTTGTGTGCCACAGGAAACTGCTCTGCGAGAAACACAATTCCAGATCTCTCCTGAGCATGTGGAACTAGTTGCATAATTCTTTGGATCCTTCATTTTATGTTGGTTATGTCTGCTCAGTACCCACCTTTCATTAGGTCTTTAACAAACTGAAATCTATTGTACAGTGGGAGAGCGATCCTTCAAGGTGGAGTTTCAAATTGTGCTCTGGACAAGAAACTGGGATCAGACCAACTGTGTGTCAGTGACTCATCTGGGATCATTGGCTTGGCCATTGCCAGGCGTAACAAAGGAAATAGATTTTAAGTTATTTTTCTAGTATTGATCAATCCTATTCTTCAATTCTGTAATGTTCTCTGTTTGCCTGGGTTGGTGGGAATGACAAGGAGAGGTACCCGAGGAGTAAATTTCTGAACTTGTCCCTCTCTTTTCCTTACAGGTACTAATATGGTTAATGCTGGAAACATGAATGGGTCTGGAAATTTGATGGATTTCTTGGATGAACCTTTCCCCGATGTTGGGACATATGAAGACTTTCATACCATTGATTGGTTGAGGGAGAAGTCACGTGACACAGACAGGCATAGAAAGGTAAGGGGGGGAAAAATATTTCAAAAGCAGGGAGCATTTCTGATAGCTAAAGTGGTAGATCATTAACCCCTACACACCCAAATTGATAGGTCTGACCTTTTCATAAACCACTTTGAGATTTTATTACAATCACGTGTATAAAATGTTATGAAATAAAGAAATCAAAATGACTGAAGTAATACTTTGAGAAAAGGTTGAAGGAACTTGCCATCAAAGACAAGGCATATTTCAAAATCCACTTCTGGAGGAATATGAATCTTTAGACTACTGCAGGGATAGTCAACATGGTGCTCTCTGAATGTTTCTGGTCTACAACTCTGATGATGGTGATAATTTCATTATTTATACCCCACTCATCATCCCTGAGTATTAGCCATGTTGGCTGGGACGTTTGGAGTCCAACAACATCTGGAAGCGCCATGTTGGCGATCCCTGTCTTTCTCAATGCTTAAATTATTCTTTCAAAATAATGTATACTGCATTATGTGGTTGTCTGTTAAGGGAAAGACCTAGAAGAAAATAAGCATCTTTTGCCTTACAGCAAGACAGACTATCAAATATCAGTGTCCAAATTTCATCAAGGAATCCTAACTTGTTCATGCATTTATGTGAACCAAAACTCTGCTTTAACTGTATTCCATGCAAATCCTGTATACACATTTGCAGTGTAAACAAATGCAAATATTATGCGATCAGAGCATACACATGTTGTTGTTTTTCTGTTGGGCTGCTTGGTTATATAGAACTGTACTATATAAAAATTGCATGTCTTTCAAGTAAACACTATTTTTTCCCTTCCAGATTACAAACAAAAGCAAGGAGTCAATATGGGAGTTCATCAAAAGTTTACTAGATGCCTGGTCGGGATGGGTTGTGATGCTTCTTATAGGACTGCTGGCAGGTATTTTCAAGAAAGTCTTATGCTATGTTGACCAATGTAGACATTCTCAGCTTCCCTATGAAGGCATCTGCATAAATTGAGTTTATGCATGCGATCCTTAACATTTCAGCATGCCAAAGGGAAGATGTAGCTATGCTTCATGCTTTGGGATATGTGTGTAAAATCGCATGCTGAACATTGACCTAGATTTTTTTTTATTAACCAGAAATAGGCACTTTCTGTGAAAATATTCCTGTGAATGTAAATGCTGTAATAAGCTCTTGTTTTGTTGACACTAATATGCCCATTTCTTGGCCTTGACTAAATTTATGCTACAAAAATAGGCATTAATAGAAGGGAAGTTGTATCACTGGAAATGTGGAATCAAACCTGTAGCTCCCTGAATGGATTATATGCATCCTCTTTATCTATGCTTTTATTTTTCAAATGCCAAAGACTTAGATTTCTGTTCCAAATGTAGACCAAATAATATTTTACAAACAGATTTCAACTATCACCGGGCTTAATTGCTGGGAACGTTTTAGGTGAAGCCATAAATGGTGAGGAGGAATTAGAAGTATGTTTTTTTTAAAAATCGCCTGAGCCAGGTGATTTTATAGCTATTTTATTTTCAGGCATTTGCCAGTTTCCTGGCAACTCTGTTACTAACTGGAGTTTACTATCAGTTAATAGGCCATATATTCTCATAGTACTGGGATGACTGAAAAAATGTAAAGGAAAGCAAAAAAATAAATAAATCCCTGAATTAACATTGTTTGCCCAGGAAGGGCTTTTGCATGTGAACAGAACTTTGGTGTACATATGGAACAAGTTTACTCTTCATTACCAGTGTCCATACAGATCCAAGAGTGCATAACTTTAACTGTTTTCAGTGTTATGGTGAACGGAAAAGCCTATACAGTTTTGGATCTGTTTGTATGCACCAGCAAACTGAACTCAAGTGTTGGAGAACATATTTGGCAAATTACTGCTTTGTAATTTTTGGATTGGTCTGTATAAAGCTATTGCAACACAGTCCCCGTACTGCATGATTCTTTAGCTACCACTGGATGTCACTGTTGTGCTATATAATTTGAAAAAGCTATCAGATCAGATGTGTGCAAAAATAAAATAAAAAAGCCATTGTACATTTTAGTTGTATAGTGTAGGTAAATTATACCTTCTGGTCTTCACAATGTAAGTGACGTCCCTTAAATCTTTTTTTTATATATTTTCCTATTTTAAGTGACAGGGTATTGAGACTAATAAGCACACAAGATGCTTGCTTGTTCATCTGGTGGCCTGATCCTGGCATGAGACCTGCACAGTAGCCCCACCACCAGTTTTGACCTCGGTTTCGACCCCATTGATTTTATTGGCACATGGAGCAGTCTAGACAAGAACATATTTACTTGCGCTGCAAACATACTCTTGTCTGGCCGAATGAGCTTGCTTGTGTGCGATTAGGGGAGCCTGTTGTTTAGAAATTCTCTGTGCCGAGCCAAGAAAAGCAGATGGCATTTAAAAGGAAACATTGCACAGTAAACTCTACAGGAAGGTAAAAGAGAACTTCCCTTTATCTTCTGTTTTCCCAGGTCTCTCTCAACCCCCTAATGTGCGTTTTAAGGACACGTGTTCTTGAAATGGCCCCGCAGCCCTGAGACAATTTTGTGGATAGGGAGTCATAAATTGCATATACAGTCGGAGAGTGAGATAAACTCTTATTTTGGTCACCACAGGGTGGTGATTCAACATAGATTTGACTGTGAATGCCACCTGTTTATGGATTGATTCATATTTATGGGTTTTCTGTGAGAACCACATTCATTTCTCTTACATTCAAATGTCTGGATTTTCCCCTTAGACATATACTTCGTGTATTAATGTCTGTCCCCCCCCCCCACTTGCCAGGCACATTAGCTGGAGTTATCGATTTGGCGGTGGACTGGATGACAGATCTGAAAGAAGGTGTCTGTTTATCCGCATTCTGGTACAGCCATGAGCAGTGCTGCTGGACATTTAATGAAACTTCTTTTGAGGACAGGGACAAATGTCCGCAGTGGCAAAAGTGGTCTGAACTTCTAGTTAACCAGTCTGAGGTATGTCTACACCTTTCAAATAATTTTCACTGTTCTTCCCTGCACAGTTAATATTTTAGCAAGGAACCCTCATTAAAATGTGTTCTACCAAACTTGAAAGGAGCCCTGGAGAGATTATTGGTTTGCTGAAGGAAGGAGAAAGAAGGTGTGCTTTGTCATTGAAGTCTTATCTAATTAGGACCAAGGCAAGTTAGTTCAAAACAATATGGAGCCTGCAAATTACCTGAAATTCACTGGAGACGGAGTGTGCCACTCACTGCACCTGCTTCTATGACTTGAACGTGTGCAAAGTTTTGCTCATAAGCACAGCAGCTGAGACGATGCCATCTTTCATCTGCAACCAACATAATAATCATATTACACATAGATTAAAGTTGTAATTCAACTAATTCAATTACCTAACACAGGACTCCAGCACTATAGCCATGGCACGATGCTGGCTCTCATGAGAATGGAGTTACAGGGCGCTTAAGAGCATTATTGGAATCACTCTCCTCGTTCACATATGTACATGTCTAATGCTTGGCGGAACCACAGGAACATAGAAAGCTGCCTTTGTCCATTTGGCTTAGCATGTCCTGTGCTGACCAAAAGAGACTCTCTGGGGATTTGAATGGCAGGCTTTCCCAGCCTACCTGAAAGCACCAGGGATTGACCTTGGAACTCTTTGCATGCAGAGCATGTGCTCTCCACCACTGAAATATGGCTTCCTCCCTTTCTAATTGCTATTGTACAAACTTTATATCCTCCTGTCACTTTTATGAAACGTTCACACTAAGAATGGAAAATGATTAGCTTTATGTAGGCAATCCTTAAAGGGCAGTGTCTCGGATGTAATATTTTCAGACTCTTCCTTATCTGCGCCTGATGAATTCTGCTTGTCATAGCTAATGGAATTTGACAGATTGAAGACATGGATATAGATGGATATTTTTGCAACACGATTTTACCCTGAGGTTTTGTGCCTTTTCGTGGCTTCAGAGCTGTTTGTCACACTGCAGTTATGAATTCTGACACCTGTCAGAATTGTCTTAATGTGTGTGTGTGTGTGTGTGTGAGAGAGAGAGAGAGAGAGAGAGAGAGAGAGAACCTCTATAGCAGATGCCTGGTGTATAAAAATATTGAAGCAAATCAAACAGCCACTGTATCCTGTGTTCCTTCTGTTTTTCCTTCTGCATAACGGTACTCGCTAAGCCCACATGGATGTAGCCAAGGGTAGGCAGGGGATCAGCTGCCCCCCCATTAAGTAAAACAATAGAAATACTTAAGTAACCAACCAATCAGGTCAGTTCTGCCCCCTAACGAAAACCCTGTCTACGCCCATGTAAGCCCACAAAATACTAAGGCAGGGAAGGGAAACATGTGACTCCAAAAGTTGTCAGACTCTCCTATGAGCCCAAGTCTGAACTGCCAGTGGTCATACTTGGAGCTGCAGACCAGAAACACAGGTTCCCCACTCTTGCTTGCAACATTGGTCCAGTGCAGCCTACTGCTTTGACAGTCCAAGACCAATTTTGTGCCAGTTTCCATATCAGAACTGTCCTTGGGAGGTGAATGGGTGCCAGAAGCTATGCCACCCGTAAATCAACTGCCCTGTTACTATTTTGTCACAGATTTGTCCTGTAGTTACTAAATACGATAGATGGTATAGTATTGGGCTCAGCCATTGGGCAACTAAACCGGCTGTGTTAGGACAACAGTAAACAATGGTTTGTGTACCCCCTCTCCCTTACCTGGACTGGCTGTGAGAAGACTGTAAACTTTTGCTTTTATTCTTTACTAACTGAAATGGAGTGCTTTTTTTTTCAAAACTGTGAGCGGTCTTTGCTTGTTTCAGTAAACCACAGGCTAACCAAAACTTAGGGTATGGACACCAGAATTCAGTTAATTAAAAATGGAAGTGGAAGCTTGAGGTCTTCTCGCTGCCATACCAGAGAAGGGGGTTGGGAATACACAGCCCTAAAGCTAATGCATGATGTAACCCTAAAGAATGGTTTTCTTTTTGGCCAAGTCAAGCCATTGCCTCTCAACTCATACCTCATGGGGCTGAGGCCAAAATTCTGCTGTAAGCTCCTTGGAGGAAGGATGAACCAAGTAACACCCATGGTTTGATTTTGACTGATGAAAGGAAATGAAAGTACCTTAGGGGCATTCAAATACTTATGGGAAAAGCTGAGTCTCAAAGCATGGGTGGAAACATAGGTCGTCTTTTATCTCCGTGGGGCTTAGGCTGAAGACATATGTAATATTTTGAGCGTGAGAGATCTGGGTACACACAGTCTCCATGCCACAAAACATTCATTTCCAGAGCAGAGAATGCATATTCTCAAACCAGTTCCACCAGATTTAGGTTTGTCGAAAACAGGAAGCCTTCCTAGCCTTTCTCTAAAATATATCTCTTAAGTTTTTATATCTGTGATTTAAGGGGTGGGAGTGGTAGGAACCAAGCCCAGCAACAGTTTAGCTACATCGAGAGGACAAAGAGATTCTCTTCCAAGTATTTGAGAACCAAATTTTCAAGAGCAGCCTCTCTTAACTCCAAGGATATTCACACTGGTATGGACCTTGATTTGCAAACAAAGCCCATCCTTTAAAGGAATAATGATTATTGCCATAGCTGGCTCTTGTTTGAAGCTCTATGGGAAGACGTTCATGGGGAAATTTAAACAAATGCTCTTCAGCTGTGGCAATAAGGATTACTCACGGCTTCAGTAAGTGTCAAAACAGAGATGCCATTAATATTTTCTTTAGCTGGGGATAAGCAATCCAGCTGTCAAAATTGGTGAGAAGAGCCACCCAATTAATAATTGTTCTGTGCAAATAGGTAAGACAAAGGGAGGTGTGGGGCGGACCCATGCCTGCTGAGTGGTAATCCCTTTTTAGTTTTTGCAGCAGTAAAGTATTTTGAGTCATCCTATGGCAGTGTTTCCCAACCTTTTTTTGGGCAAAGGCACACTTGTTTGATGAAAAAAATCTCGAGGCACACCACCATTACAGCCCCGTGACGTCAGCGCGCAGCGTCACGCCGGGAGGGACACACGAAAGTGTAAGTTTCATTTTTTTCCCTCCCCTCCTGTGTAAAGGGGAATGCACTCTGCTAAGTAAAGGCACTTGCCACAGCAGCGTCAACGTCACAGCACCCACCGCACCCAAGAGAGAAGGGGTCTCAGCAGCCCTTTTGCCAGGAAGAGGAGCAAGAACGGGAGGAGGAGGAGGAAGAGGAAGAGAGCCCCCCCCCAAAAAACATTCTCCTTTTGATCTTCCTTATTTGCAATTCCTCATTGCAAAACAGCGGTTGATATAGAGCTGATTTTTTTGTTATTACAGTCCCCACCCCCTCACCTAGAAAAACACCCCCTGTCAATTTTATTATTATTATCATTATTATTATTCATTATTATTATTATTATTATTATTATTATTATTATTTCCCGCCACTCTGGGAGGCTGAAGCCCTTTAAGGGCTTCCTTCTGTCCACTCTCTGTGAATTACCTGCCCGGAGCGGGTTTCTGGGGGGGGGGGCGCTGCTGCCGGTGTCCTCCCCGTCGAGTCTCGCCTTGCCCGGCGCGTGGCGCGCCGCCCTTTCCCACACTCTGCCGCTGCGCTGCCAAGCCCGTGGCTCGGCCTGTCAGCGTTACCAGGCTCGGCGGGCGGTAATTCCCGAAGAAAGCCGGCGGCGCTTGAAGAGCTGGCAAGCCCCCATTTGCATGTCTGTTTTCCGCAGCCCTTGGAGAGGATTAAGTTCCCTCCTTCCTGCCGGGGAACCTCCAAGCTTTGGGGGTGGGGGGGGAGGCAGCAAAGCGAGGCAGGAAGGAGAGCGCGGCTTGGCTGGGTGAGCTTTGGCAGGGGCAGGGAATGAGAGCCGCGAGGCGGGCGCTGCGGGCGGAAAGCGCTGCCCGCGAGCTCGCAGGCAGCCCAGGCAGGCAGACGGCGAGAGCCCCGCGCTGGGTGGCCTCTCCTCGCCGCGCCGCCGCCCCGCCTCTCGCCGCCCGACTCGCCCGCCTCCCTCCCACGGAACACAAGGCAACGTTCCGCGGCACACTAGTGTGCCGCGGAACACCGGTTGGGAAACACTGCTTTAGACCCAGTGCCCTTGTTCTGCTCCTGAATATCCCATTTTCTGTTGCACTGGCAGGGAGGGCTTGTAGTTTCACAGGAGCAGCAGCAAAGAGTAATTGAGTGAAAGGGCTGCTTGTTCATCCACCTGTGCCTACTTGCAGCCAGTGGCGTCCTTTGATCCAACCCAGATGAGCCAAAGTCTGCAAAGCAAATCACTCGCTTGCCCATGACTCAAGCAAAGTGAGCCAAGTTACATTCTGCAAGGATGATGCAGAAGATCAGTTTCAGAAGGCAAGGTTTGACAGATCAACTGCATGAGCCCAAATCTGCTAAGAGCTGTGCCTTAGCAGAAAAGTGTGTGTTTTGCCCTAGCCCTGGAACCCTGGGATCAGGCTGGCCTTGTTTTGCAGGGCAATGGAGGAGCCTGGCCCACAGAGGCAGCTGCCAGCAGCAGGGACTCCCCCTTGGGGCCCGGCAGGCAGCCAGCGGGTCGAGTGCCATTTACAAAGCCGCCTCTATTTCTTTACAGCTTGCTGTGGCCTATAAACAACACTAACTGTTTGTTTCTTGTTAAAATTTACCTCATAAACCAATTTACTGTGTGAGTTCAAGCCAATAATTGTTTAATCCTGCTTTTCTCATATCCATAATACATTGACTATAAACCTGAGGTTTCCACTTTATAGAATTTTCCCTTTGCTCTTTGGTGCAAGATATAGAGCCAGGCAGGCGTGTTGGCCAGAATGTTATGCAGAGGGGGGCAAAGGGGGGCTGAAGGAGGCTGGCACTCAGGAGCAGCTGAGGAGGAGGAGGAGGCTATCCTAAGGACCCACTAGCCATAGGCTTCTTTGCTCCTGCATCACTTTCTGCTGCCACCGCTGCCACCTGGTAGCACAAAGAAGAGACTAACCTGGGGAGGTGGCAATTGTCACACACCTTTGAGGGCCACCTGGTAATTTGCTGCCAATGTGGACCAAAGCCTCTCTGTCATGGTGTGGAAGCAGTG